TGGGAGTTGAAGTCCACTCATCTTAAAGTGGCCAAGTTTGGACAACACTGTCCTAGGGGGTTCTACACTGGACTAGATGACCTCAAACCACCATTATCTACAGCTGGAGGTCAACTCCATTGGGGAAAGGGAGGCTGAACTGGAGGGTTTATTCTGTTGTCAGAAGCCTGCATTAGGAAGGGTCCCCTGAGGTCATCCAGTCCAACCCCCTGCCCAGTGCACGAATCCAAATTAAAGCTTCCAGACAGGCAGCTGTCCAACTTCTGCTTGAACTTATCCAATGAAGATAAGCTCCTCTCAGGTCCACTTCTTTATTAAATTAAGTTTTGGTTTTATTCTATTTTTACTGGATTTTATATTGTTTTATTGTATTTTCATATTTATTGCTGTTTTATTGTGAACCTCCCAGAGTCACTTTTGTGAGATGGGCGGTATCTAAATTTGAAATATAAATAAATAAAATAAATAAATTATATTCCGCATTTTTACAAGCAATTAAGTTCTACTCAAATGCTCAAATGTTAGAAAGCATCTGGTTTTCACCCCCACACACATTCCTTTCAAATCTGCAACCTGGAATCCCAAAATGGAAACAAGCCTTTGCTCTTCCTGCCAGCCGCTGTCCTCTTTCTGAAAGTGTCCTTGTTTATAAAAGCAAATTAATTTTTAAAAAGCACGTTTTGCTATGCAAGAAAATCAGTAAAGTTGGTAAGTAAATATACAGACAGAGGAATCAACCACAGCAGAACCAGACTGCAAATCCCCTTACAAAAGATTCCTCGACTTGCCACCTTACCTGAAAATATGAGTTTTTCTTTCATGATGTTGACATCGCGGCTGGATCGGCGGACGGCAGCACTGAGCATGATCTGTTCCGGGTTGTACGTGCGGATGCTGCCGAAGCGCCACCTGGGACAGAAGTGGAACATGGAAAGACCCTCGTTTGCAGGGGCCCCACTGGACTGGGGACAGCATGCCCACCCTGGAGCGCCCACTGCAACCGTGCAAAGCCCTGTCCCTTTTTCATGCGCGCCACGCATGATTGCAACTGCCATCTTGACTTTTTTTGACCTCCCCGCCCCCCGTGGACGCCTCTGTAAATCCTGCTCTCTGCCCCTCCCAATCTGCAAACATCATTTCTCAGCCCCATGCAGGAAGGAGCAAAGATTTTGAACCAGCAGCTAATTTCCAGCTTAGGAAAACAATTCCTTTCCTTTTCTTCTCCTCCAGCAGAGCCTGCGAGATGCAAGCTTGGAAATGAGGTGTTGTACAACCACATGCCCCGAGCCCCCCACCCCACCCCGCCCCAAGAGACACCATCTCTAACCCAGCATTTCTCAAAGCCTCTGATTGGAGCTGGCAGGTTTAATCTACCGATTTAAAACAGTTCAGTCAACTGAAAAGGTTCCCCAGGTGACCCGGTTTGCACACAGGGAGGTCTGGGCAAAAACAGGCAGCTTCTTTCACAAATTCGCCTGTTCTCTCCCGATGCAAAAAAACAGATTACAGTAGGATTTGTCAATTCAGTGATTTTAAATCGAGCATCGGCCTCTATGTGGGAGGGCGTTCATTCAGGTGCTGGCCTTCAAGTTGGGTAGGCCTGGGTTCTAGTCTCTGCCTTAGCCCTCTGGGGGACTTTGGGACTGTTACTGCTTCCTGGCCCAGCCTACCTCGCAGGGTTGTGGTGGTGGTGGGGAAAAATGGGGGAGGAAGTGTTACGCCTGCTGCCTTGAGCTCTGAGGAAGGGCAGGATAGAATAATAAAGAGGAGTCCCGGATCCAAACTCTCCTTGCCCCCCAGTGCTTTAAAGTGTGCAGACAAGTACCCACACCACAAAGAAACCGAAAAACCATGCAGTCAGATCTAACATATAACACAGAGATGCCAAGTACACAAAATGGGACTTGTAGGTGATACAATCACGTAACACGCAGTCAGCTGGCCAGCAATCCAGATTCGAAGGGGAAAATGGGATTGCAAGTGTGCAGAATGCCCCGGTGGGCACCTCAAAGGCCCCCTTTCCTGGGCTCCCCTGGGTGCCACTGCATGAGTCCAGAGAAAGGGCAGCTGCTTTCAGGAGTCGCTGGCAAGTTAGGGGGCAAGCAGGCGCACCCTCCAAATATTTCCCCCCTCCCCTGGAATCTGGGTCATTACACCTTCCTGATACACAGAGCTGGTTTGCACTCGTCTTGGTCAGTATTAAAGCGATCCAGTTTTCGATGTTCTATCTGGGGCAACCTTGGGGCCAAAGGGAAGACTAAGGCCCTGTTAGCCTGCACCAAATTGGCTGCCAAATCCGTTGACAATGAAGAAGGATGGAGAGAAAAGTTTGATAACTTAGCAAGGGAAAGCAGGGCTGTTGTTTAACCATATAACCACCCCGCTCCCTTAAGGACTTTAAAATCAGAAGTAATCCCCCCCAAAAAGAACAGTGGTGTGAAAGATATGAATGTCTGAATCCGCCTCCCATCCTGATGTCTGCCTGTATTGCATTTCTGACTGCACCTCCCCTCTTCCCCTCTGCTGTGAAGGAAACCAAAAAATCAGTCCCCGCCTTCCGCAATCTGGTAGGGAGAGCTGCTTTTCCATCCAGACCAAGCCCTCCTTGCCACTTTCAAGACCCTCACTGCAGAAGCCAGTTGGAAACACGCTTCGCCCTCCTGCCTACCAACCCCCGCCCCCTTTGCAACGTCAAAAAAGAACTGCTTTTTGCAAAGATGAGGAAAGAAAGAGGTGATGCCAGTAACATGGAGAAAGCACAGATGTGCACAGAGGCAGCCTGGATGAGGCGAGAGGAAGAAGATGATCTAGGCAAATACCCCCCCCCCCAACCTTTGGAAAAAAGGGTCAGTCAGGTTCTCAGGCCACAATGTGATTTCGACCATTCCATGCCAAGAAGGGGCAAAAGGTGGGCAGCAAAGGTCAGGTGCTTCTCTCTCTCGTGCACACACAGCATGTATTTTGCTGTGAGCCTTGTCGGTGGCTGCAATCCTCACCCAGCAAAATCTGGTAAGTTGGCTGGACACACCAGTTTTAGGCTGCTTCTGACCCAGAAATGCCTTCAGCTCAGAAAAAAACGCTTTCAAGGCAGCAAAACTCCCTGATGCACTGATGGCAAACAGGGCTGTCGTTGTGGGGCAAATAGGAAGAGGAAGGTGTATGAGAGATGTTCGCCGCCGTGAGTTATTTATACAAATAATAAAGGCGGAATAAAAGAAAATCTAAAAAAAAAACAAACTCTGCAGGTTCTTCTCCTCTGCGGGCCTTAATGCTTGTTTTTAAAAGTGCTTCTAGGGGTCACCGAGCAACACAGGAGGGAAGTTGGAGAAGAAAAGGTGTCAATCCAGCAGAGGGTTACGCCCTCCCTGCCAAAAATCTTGTAGGATTTGGGTGACCTTCCCCAACGCCTCACAAGACTTGGTGGTCATGTGAAGTTCTGCCCCCTTTTAATTAATAAGTTGTGCAGATTTAACGGGAGGGGCATTTAGAGGGGGTGACCGATGCCATGATGTCACCGTAGGAGGGCTGTGTCTACAGGGGCAAAAAATCAGCAGGGACCTGCCAGCTTCTTTTCCAACTAACCAACGTTATGAAAAGGCAGAAACTTTCATGAGATGCAGCTGACTTCATAGGCATCTGAGCCAATGAATGCACGTGCCTGTGCCTGATGTCGTGAGATGCAACTCACAAAAGCTTCTCGATGCCCGTGTGCGTACTGTTGCCCGCAGAATTCCCCAAGGTCTGGGGCAGAGGATTTTTCTCCAACCTTGCCCAGCTGAAGCCATGGGTATCGGCGTGCGTGTGATGTCACCAACAGCAATGTCATCACGTAAATGATGCAAATGTTGTTGCGACACTTGGGACATCTCTGTGGCTTGTCACTTTCTGCATCGAGATGGACTTTAGAGGCTGAACCACAAATAAAAATTCTTGGGGATTACTGGAGGGAGCACGTGTACAAAGACTCGGTCGCTCAGCTCTCTGACTTGCAGGAAACAGCAGCAGCATTTACCTGTCCGGGAGCTTTTGAGGTGAGAAAAAGCTATTGAGCACGTTCTGCCAAGTGTCTTTTTTCTGGCTGAAGCTGCAAATCTTGGCCAATCAAAAATTGCAAAACGCTTGGCAAATCAAGAACGGAGGCTGAGGGATCATCCGGGCAGGATGAAACCAGAGGGGACCATATCCGTGTGTCATGTCTCCGAAAGCGAGAATCGCCTTTGCAGCACCAGGACGGAAGCTCTCTTGGGAACAAAGGGTTGGCATTGCCCTCTGTTCCCAAGATGAACTCCTTGCAAACAGAAGAGTTTTTAACCTTGGAGGACAAGGATCGGTAGAAATATTCATGAGCCATCCATCTCTCTCTCTCTCTTTTAATTCTCTCTTTTACTTGTTTATGCATTTGCTTCAAAGTGTTGGGGGAAAAAAATGAAACAGCAACCCACTGTTCCCAGCTGTGACCCCAAAAAGTCATAACCAACCAAGTGGATATTAGTTGTGCCGAGCTGGTGGGGATGATGGGGCTTGGAGTCCAATGTATCAGGAGGACCCAACTCAGGAAAAGTGGGTGAGATAGACAAAGCCCCCAATTTGGTTGGAAGCAGCCTCTTACGTTCCAAAATGCTTCCCCACCCGTATGTTATAGGCTGCAATGAAAGTGTTTCCCTGCTACTTCATGAAGCTTCAACTTGAATGAATGAGCCAATTTCAGGGGGCGATGAACAAAAAGCGAGGGGAGGAATAAAGGGAGTCACGGCAAGCCTTGCCATGTTTCTGTTGGAGGACGCTGCAATCAAACCAGATGTGGTGTTTAACCAATTTTGGCATCCAGCCTCTTGGGTTTTTTTTTTAAGGCAAATTGCATCAGTCGAAGGCAGAGGTGACTGCCGGGTGTGGTCAAAAAAGTCAAGGCGGTGACGGTGCCATAGAGGCTCTGCCTGGTTTCACGTGCGCCACATGTCCGGCGCCCATAAAAACCAGGTGGAGCTTCTTCGCAGCCTCGTGTCTGCCATCTTGACTCTTTTGACCCTATCCTGCAGACACTCCGGTGGAAGGGGAACCCGGAGGAGAGAGCATGTGTGGAAATGCACTTCTTCCTTCCCTCTACGACCTTCAGCTCCTCTTCTCAGCTGGCGCAAACAGAAGACCCAGCCTGAACAGCATCTCCTTTGTCACCAAAGCTGTGGCCCAAATCATACATCAATCCATATATATTCAAATGCCTGTTTTTCCACCTAGAGTTGGGTGGCCTTGAAAGGGTCAGCAACGCCCGAGAACCGGGAGTTTTGGGTGCACCGGATCGCGTCCGTGCGCAGGTGACCCGAATCTCGATGCTTCTGTAAATGGCCGTATTTTTAATTCCCCCCTTAACTTGGCACATTGCCCCGGCCTTCCTCCACATTTTCAGCAACGCTTATAAGGGGGGGGGGAGCATAAACAAAAATAGAGATGAAGGTGAAATGGGGGAGGAGGTCCCAGAAATTACCTGATTATGTGATAGCTGTAAAGATGCCAAAATGCAGCAGCAGAAAGAGAAAGAAAGAGGAGAGGGACATGCAAGAAATGTCAGAGCAGTAAGAAGATAACCAAGAGAATCGAACGGCCCCCACCCTAGTGGCAATTGGAGGGGCCCTAAAGACCCAGGCCCCCTCGAATTTGAAACCCCCTTTTCTTCTTGTCTGGGTTCCCCTCTGGGTTTGCAATCTCTGCTATCCCTATTCTTTGGGGCGGCTGTTTCCTTGCGTTGAAACGTTCTTCCCCGTTTGCAAACCGTCCGGAGTTGCCGGGAGTCGGGCGGCTTCCCTGTTTAATAAATGAAGACGTTTCGTTCGTTAAAGATCGAGAGGCGAGCAAGGCTGCGCCCCTTGGCCATTTTTGCAGGCTGATAGGCTTTCCCCGGAACAAAGTGGACTAACGAGGCAGGATTGGGCCAAAGTCATTTTAGTAGTGGATAGGGGAGGAGAACCAAACGTTGCAGAGGAGAAGCCCCCTCTGCATTTCTTCCCTCCTGTACCAACCCCTTTTAATAAAACCTGGGCTTGAGCTGTGCTCCTAAGGCAGCGTTTTTCAACCTTGGCCACTTTAAGATGTGTGGACTTCAACTGGCTGGCTGGGGAATTCTGGGAGTTGAAGTCCACACATCTTAAAGTGGCCAAGGTTGAAAAACACTGACCTAAAGTTTCCAGTGCTGACGTGACAATCTCTTGTCAAAGTACCTTTAAAAAGGTACGGGGATTCACTTCTGAACTTCAGGAGCTAACTCTTCTTCTATTTAAAACCCAAATCTGGCCAGCCCCTGCTTTAAAACATTAAACCAATGGATCTCTTCTGCTTTTCCAGGCATTTGCGGTCTCGTCTCTTTAAAAGAATTTTTTTCCCTCTCCTTTCAGCTTCGTTTCTCCAAGTTGTACATTTCTCTTCCAAAGTTGCCCTTGCAGAGCAAAGGCTAGAAAGGAAGAGAACTCGCGAGCATAAAGTTTAGCCTTTGCCAACTTGGGGACGGGGAGAAAATGCCACCTGGGGCATGCAGTCCTTGAAAGAGGGCATCAAAGAATTCACCCTGCTTGATTAATCCTCTATAATTCATTTATCCCCGGCAAGTCCTAAAGCCTTGCTTAGCGGTGAACTCGCACGTCGGACAAAGTTTGGCCTCTATTTGTATTTCCTGATGGAATTAGGCCGAGGGAACTTTTCTACAACCCTCCAAAGTGGCTCCTGACGTTGCTGGGAAGAGCCTAACAGTATTACAACATCATCAGAGGACGCTACTTACTTCTGGAAGATAAAAACCCCTACAATTATGACAAATGAAGCGAGGTCGGCCGTTATCCAGATCAGACAGTACTCGTTTGGAGGCTGAAAAACAAGAAAAAGAAATTAACAAAGACTAAAAGGGTTTTTTTAAATCTCTAAACATGGGATATGGGAGCAGAGAGATTGTCAGGTTTAACCATTAATCCCCAGTCCTTTCTCTTCCCCACCCACATCTTCATATATATCCCTAAAAGTAAGAAATACATTCTGGAACTGGAAAAAAAAAAACGGAAGAGAAATGAACTGTATTTGTAATTGTTTTAAGCATCCTGACTTTTGCAACAATCAAGATCTTGCCAGTGGTGTTGTGACATTGTGTATTTGCAAGGTAAAATAAAAAGTCAGATTTTCTTGGAGTCCAACTCCTGGTATCTTCACAGAATCACACATATAGTTTTTTCTGCAGAAAAAAATAGTTTCTTCTTACCTTTTTTATAGTGTTTTTTGCCTTTTCCCACTCACCCAATCCCGGATAACCTAGGGGTCTCCCATCCAAATACTAGCCAGGCCCAACCCTGCTTAGCTTTTGAGCCCAACGTTATCTAGGTGCCATCGCCTGCTTTGGGGACATGAGTTTCTACCAACTGCAAATTATGGGAAAAGACTTCCCCATCACAGAGTAAATGTGGGAAGTGTGAGACGAGGCTGAAGCTGCCATAACTAAAAGATGAAGCAGGTACATAAGCAGAGGGGATTAAAAGCTAGGAATCTTGTCTAAAAATCCTTTCGAGGAGGTAGATAAGAAGGAAGCAAAGGAAAAAACGTCACCTGAACCAGACAAGGAAAATTGGGCCTCAGCACATGGAAACCTTCCGCCACAATCCCATCAACAGCTACCAGACTCGTCAATTAACGAGGCAAGAGGAGCTGCCGGTCTTGTGAATCAACAGAGCAAGGACTTGGGGGGATAAAAGGGGTTCCTGAAGCTTGGCCAGTCTTTGAGTCGTCTTTGGATCCAGACTTGGCGGCTTCCGTCCCTCTAGCTCGTGCCTGGCAGCCTAGTTGAGAAGGACGTGGGTAAGTGTGGATGAGTGTGTGTGTGTGCGCGCGTGTGAGAAAGAGCAAATGTACACTGAAACCAGTCAAGTTTTGCTGTTACTTCAAATTCACTGGGTCTCCGTGCAGTCCAAACAACCTTTGGGGCCTTGGTGTTTAGTTGGAAGTGATGTGAGTGTGTCCCTGATTACGCCCCGGCTGTTGACCAGGGCTGTGTGTCTGTCTGCTCCAGCCGTACCTTATCTGGAAAACCCAGGGAGAAAGCATGGGGGGCTTACAAGATCCATGTGCCTCAACAGGGTGTGAGTGTGTGAGCGACCATAAGCTGAACCTGGGAGCCCCTGTAACAAGAGCCAAACCATACCCTACTCATAAACACTGAGTATCGGCAAGAAAAAGTTATATGCATGTAATAGTTGTGTCTATGTCTCATATAACATTGAAACTATTTCTATAGTTATAGAATGGGTATCTGTATAAGGTAAACTATTTATTTGTTTACAGGTTTTCTCCATTTTTTAAAATTAATTTCTGCAATAACTTTGTTAGATGCAATGAATTCGACTGAGTGGGGCGGGACTGAAATTCAAGTGACTGCTATTATTCAGTATATGGGAGAGGAGTGTGAATTAAGAGGGATAACCCAGGAGCTTGCAAACCTCACAGCTTGCAAATATAATTGCCGTGTGTGAGAATAATTAAGCCACAGCTCTGATAGAAAGGGAGAAGTGTTTATTTGCTTATTGTATGCGTTTATTGAGAGTCAGGGAGAGAAAAAAGTTATTCTCCATCCTGCAAGTCTCAACCACTTTCATTTACTCAGGGTGTAAGCCAGCAGAGACCCGTTTTGAAAATGGGTCAGAAGCATAAATATAAAATATAGCAAGCACTTCTTTGATCCAACGTACATCAGCGTTTTTCAAACTTGGCCACTTTAAGATGTGTGGACTTCAACTCCCAGAATTC